ATTGCAACTTGGGATGTGCAGGCTATGGCAGACAGGAGGCAAATCCGAAGATCAAAGGAGGGGAGCTTGCTTTCACAGGGAAAGAGGAGTGGGGAGGGGCTGTAATAAAAAGTCCATTGGAGGAAATTGGGCGTCCAAAGTGTAGATGCTTCCCATTGGCTGGGGTGCTATAGTCTCTTGTTGGCTGGGCTGTTGCTGGGCGGAAAGAGAAATCTTCCTTCCCCCTGTTGGTTAGTAAGGTAGTAAACACTGTCCTGTGGAGGTGCAAGTGTGCTGTCTCTGCCTGTTTGGAGTAATTGACGATGTGTGATAGAGCGTGAGGGCTCCCCCTACAGGCCTTCCTGACCCTAATTTAGTTGAGGTTTCTTTTATTAATTCCTCAGCGTAGAAAAGCTCCTCAGGCAATTCTGCTGGGCAATTGGAAAAAGAAAAAAGGACAAGGAAAGTGTGCCTTGTCCCATCTCCTAGAGAAAAAGCCAGTGAGGCAGTTGTCAGGGTCTTGATTCCGCCTGCTAGACTTGAAATGAGCCCTGTGTACAACCAGGATGTCTACTTACTAACTTAGTGAGAAAGAATTGCTAGACACACTGGGCCCTCAGGATGGTGATCAGATCACCCCTTTCCCTGAAGAGAAGTCTGTGTGGGGAGGGGCCCCCAGGAGGGAAGGCGAGCCGTGGTGCCACCACCACGTGAGGCCACAGGCCTGGGCAGCATGGAGACCAGGAGCCCACGCCCATGCCAGGCCTCTGGGCTGGCAGTCCCCAGGCAGTGCCTGAGCTGGGTTCCACTTTTGGCTGCATGCCCTGGGTTCTTGAGAGGACCGGGGTGGGCCTCAGGAGGAGACTGAAACCTATACAGCCCCTAATAAAGGAGTAAAACGGGGCACGTAGAGTGTAGTCCTATTTATCATTTAATGGAATGAACAGCAGCAACATGAATAGAGTAAAAAGGGGAGAGGATTGGATAACCTATTGAGTAATTTTCAAAGAGCAAAGGCATTCACTTGGTACTTTTCCATATTTTATACTTGTCTTATATTTGGAATCAGAAAAAGATATTAATGATGTTAGTAATTTTCAAAATCTCCTTTACAGAAGGCCCCCTTGCCCATGTCTGGGGCCATTGGAAGTGTGGTTGGTTTTTGCTGTCTTGGTCTGGCCTGCCTGTGGACAGGCAGGAGGAGGCTTTGCAAGGCTGCATGCTGAGAAGAGGACTGGACGTGGAGTTGGCGGATGGGCTGGTTTTTATAATTACTAGCTGTGATTATAAGTTACCTGAAACCTATCTAAGCCTTAAAAATAATGAGCCAGAAGGGAACCAGAAGATTCATGTTTGGGTTCTGGCTGTGTACTTGCTAGCTTGGTGATGTTGGGCAAATCCCTTGGCCTGACCTCTTTGGGTCCTGTTTCCACCTTGCAGGATGGTTTCGGGTGTTGTATTAATCAGCTCGGGCTGCCATAACAAAGTACCACAGACTGACTTAACAGTCATTCAGTTCTCGCAGTTCTGGAGGTTGGAAGTCCCAGATCGTGGTGTGGGCAGATTGGGTTTCTCCTGAGGCCTCTCTCCCTGGCTAGTAGGCAGTCACCTTCTTGCTGTGTCCTCACATGGCCTTTTCTGTGTGTCTGCAGAGAGCAAGCTCGTATAGAGGTGTTCTTCTCTTCTAGGACACCAATTCCATCAGATGAGGGCCCCGCGCTTAGGACCTCATTCAACCTTAATTACCCCCATAAAGGCTTCATCTCCAAATACAGTCACATTAGGTAGGGTTTCAATAGGAATTTGCAGGGACACTATTCAGGCCATATGAGTATTGAAAGCAGAGTTGGAAATTAAAAAGCACCGGACAAAGGTGAGATTCTGTTGCTGTTCTCTCCTCAAAGCTTGGCACTGCCTTCAGTTTACAGCACAGGGACTCAATCAGGTGTGAAGTTTGTTGACAAGAATAAAGTACAGAATTCTATTTATATTTTTATAAATTAGCGCAAACTCAAGGTCGTCCTGTGATAATGTCACTCTTGTTCCCTGCTTTCTTGCGTGGGAAGAAAGGGTTGAAGTTAAGCTCCTGTCCTGGGAACTACCTGCAGAGTGTGTCCTGAGAGCCCGTGTGCAGTGGGAAGAGGACTGGCAATGCCCTGGGCCGTAAATTCCTGTCCTCCGGCCCCTGCCTGCCTGGGGTCGCAGGCATGGTGCCCATGGCTGCTGCCCGGCCAGGCCTGCTTCTTCCCCTCTGGGGAACTACTTTTAACTGACTTGTTGTTTTCTTTTTTTTAAGGTTACTTTTTTCCTTATTACAAAAGCAACATATGTTCTTTGCAGAAAAGTGAAGAGAAGGTGATGAAAATTTCCATTTTTATCAATAATCAGTGTCAAGCTAAGTCAGAGAGTTGCTTAGTGCTCTGCACTATAAAGAGGCCAAAACAGCCATGAATGCAGTGACCACTCTAGTTATTGGAACTCTCCTCAGAGAGAGCAGAGGAAGAGACCCCCCAAGGAACATGCTGGAATAACAAGCACGGGTCCTGATACTTCCTCTGGGAGGTGGATTTGATGAACACACAGTGTTTGTCTTGCTGTTGAATTAAGTGGAACGAGATCGCTTGTCTCTGAGGGGGCCTGCCACAAGCTAGTTTAAGTATGTTATTGGAAGAACGTCGGTTTGAAGGGCACCTACCTGATTATCGAGTCTTCTTGGGGCACCCACATATTATTCTGGCCATGACCCCCCACTCACCATCCTTTTAATAGCTCTTGTGGTTTTATTAAATCAATACATGCTTCTTCTATTGAAAAAAATTCAAATAAGACAAAATAAACTATCACACTAGCCAGAAATTTGTTTAAATTTTATTTAAAAATAGAAAACTATTAACTTTTTAAACTTTTTACTTGGAAATTATTTCTTAGAGATAAATTACAAAAATAAAAAGACCCCTTATCCAGTCTCCTATTCTTAACATTTTAACTCATTTACCATTCTCATTTATTGTTCTTTCTCTCTTGTATACACACACATACACGTAAAAATGCACACATGTAATTTTTTTCTTAACTATTACAGAATAAGTTGCATACATCATCACCCTTTATGCCTAAATTCTTCAGTGTCTATTTCCTAAGAACAGAGATATTCTCTTTCATAACTACAGTAGTTATCAACGTCAGTAAATTTAACATTGATAGCACCCGTATTTCACTTTTGTCAGTGGACCCCAAAATTTCTCCTTCTAGTTTAGGATCCAGTCTAGGATTAAGTATTGCATTTTGTTTTCATGTCTCTTAATCTGGAACATTTCCTCAATCGTTTTGTCTTTTATGACATCCATACTTTGGGATAATACAGTTCTCCCCCTCTGGCATAACGCTTTATTTTGGGTTTGTCCACATGATTACTTTAGAGTTCTACGTTCTCAGCCAGAATACTGCATAGGTTACATTGTGTCCTTTCTCAGGGTACTACAGCTGGGGGCACACAATGGTCATCTGTCCCCATTGTCACTGGCTTTGATCACCCAGTCACGTATAAGTACTAGGTTTTTTGTTTGTTTTATAAAGATCGGCACCTGAGCTAACAACTGTTACCAATCTTTTGTTTTCCTTCTCCCCAAAGCCCCCCACTACATGGTTGTATATTCTAGTTGTGAGTGCCTCTGGTTGTGCTATGTGGGATGCTGCCTCAGCATGGCTTGATGAGCAGTGCCATGTCCCCACCCAGGATCCGAACCAACAAAACCCTGGGCTGCCAAAGCAGAGTGCACGAACTTAACCACTCGGCCACGGGCTGGCCCCAGTACTAGGTTTTTTCTCCCTGGCACCTAATAAGCAGTCTGCGAGGAGACATTTTGAGACATATCTTGCACTTCATCAACATTTTCCTCCAGGAGCTGGCATTCCTTGATGTTTCTTCCTTGAGCCAAGCTTGACTAAGATGGTTGCAAAGTGATGCTATTCCAACTGCAGCACCCCTCCACATTAGCGTTCTGTTGTAAGCAAGAGCCCTCTTTCTTCCTCTCCCATTTGTTTATCTATTTATTATCTATATGGACTCATTAATTCCTATTTTTCGATGGTTTTTAATTAATTACTATATTTAATTATATTCATGCTCAAATTATCCCAAACTTGGCAGTGGGAGCCCCTTCAAGCTGGCTCCTGTGTCCTGTGACATGCCCCATCCCTTTTTGGAGCACTTCCTTATTTTCTGAAATAAGATGCTCAGGTTCATCTTATTCTTTCCCTGCCCCAGCTCCAGAGTCAGCCGTTTCTCCAAGGAGACCTGTTATCTTTCGCATGGAATGACATTAAAGGGTGCTCGGTGTGCTCATTGCTATAAGAGTGTCTTTGCTTCTCAGCCCTTCAGGGGCCGTAGCCAGGAAATACATGCATGCACACACAAGTGTGCATACACACATGCACACAAGCATGCATGGAAGGATCACGAGTTCACACTGGTACTTCCGATGCAGTGTCCCTCCGCAAGTTCCTTCTCTGACATCCTCAATTCCTGATTTGTATGCCCTTTCTTCAACAGTGGACCTCTGGCTCCTGCCAGATCACCACATTTACTCGTTCCTGTGAGATACCTAAAACAGTTTATTCTTAAATGGACTATACTTATCAAACGTACTTAAAAGAATTCAGGTTCATCCCTTCCTGGCCACACTATTAACTTTTGATGAACATCCTTCTAGATCTCCCTTTATACACCTGTAGATAAATATGCACAATTTTATTAAATTGTAATCACATTATACATACTGTTCTTTAATCTAAATTTTCCCTCCACTAAGGAACATATTAACATCATTCTGTAACATATCATCCAACATCTTTTTGTCCACAAAATGAGATCCATAGAATATTTTGTAATGGTTGCACAATAAGACTGTACCATAATTCCCTGCTGTTGGACTTTGATTTTAACAGGCGTCCAATTTTTCGCTATTATATATAAAGCTGGCATCAACATCCTTGTAACTAAATCTTAATTATTTCCTTAGGATAGAAGTGGAATTACTGGTCAAAGGGTATGTATATTTTTATGTCTTTCTGAATGGCTGTATTTATGCTCTCGCCCACAGTTTTTGAGAGTGCTGGTGTTGTTTTGACCAGTGTTTCTCAACTGTGGCTGCACATTAGAATCACGGAGGGCACTTTTAAAAGCAGTGATGGCCAGGCCTGGCTCCGATATTCTGCTTTCAAGGATCTGGGGTGTGACCAGGATTTGTGGTTTTTAAAAGCTCCCCAAGAGATTTTGATATGCAGCCAATTTGATAGGTGAAAGTGGTATTTATTTTAATTATAATTTTCTTCTGAAATTGTTTCAGACATTCAGATTTGGGAGAAGTGGCCCCAGAAATAAAAGCATCTGAGAGACGAACAGCTGTGGCCATTGCAGGTAAGGTTGGGCTTGGGCCCACTGTGAAGCAGATATGTTTCTTCTACCCCTTTGGGTTTCTAGCACCACCCTGGGCTGGGGATCACGGACCTCAAAAATAAATAAGCATAAGGCCTTTGGTTTTTTTTACAAGAAGATTCCATCTAAAGGTCTTTTAAGCTTCCGTCATACATTCAAAATAGGATTCAATTTTAAACAGATGATTATTACACAGTTTACTAGGAACACATGATTCCAGTGTGAGCATGTCATAACTGCCACCCTGAGTCATGTTTACAGTGACTGTCTAGTTTCTAAACTGGGCACTTCTGAGAGTGAAAGATGTGTTTTGTTGGGACAACAGGTATAAATTGGGAATGTCCTGGGCAGACTGGGGCTTGTGGTCTTTCTGGTGATGGTCCTCCACATAAGCTGGTTTTTCTTTCTTGGGAGTTGCGCAGTGGGGCTGCAGCTGCCCCTCATGACTTCAACTTTAAGATGTGGTGGCCACACTGTAGACATCTTAATTTCTCTTAGTAACTCATTTTAGATCTATCTTTAATTTGGTCCTTCTCAAAATGAATGTGTCCTATTGGATATTAATAGTGTTATGCAAAAATACCCCCACAATAATATGCAAATAAGTTAGGGTTAGTCAAATTTTGTTTTATTTTATTCAATCAAACAAATATTTATTGACCACTTACTATGTGCTGGCATTGTGAATCTAGTAAACAATAACAGATGAAATGGCCAAAAATCCTTATCTTAATGGAACTTAAATTCTAGAAGGTAGGCACCATGGAAATTAATGGCTAGTCAGTCAAGTCTTACAGCAAAGTTGGGATCAATCAGTAATTGCCCAAAGTCCTTCAGTTTCTCAAGATCTAGAATCATGCTTTTCAGGACAGTAGCCACTAGGCACACAATTTAAAATTACACAGAATTAAACGTTTAGTTCCTTAGCTGCACTAGCCATATTTTAAATGCTCAGCCACCATGTAGCTAGTGGCTACGTATTGAACAGTGCAGATAGAGAACATTTCCTTCATCACAGGAAGTTCTGTTGGAGAGTGTTGCTCTAGGAAAACAGGAAAGAAAGCTTGGGGGTGGGCTGAGGAAAAGAAATTACCTTACCAGATGCCTTCTATGAGGTGGGTTGTCTTATTTAGTTTTTATAACCACCTTGTAAGATAGTTATTATTGGTCTTTTGTTTCATTTGAGGAAACTGAGCCTCAGAGACACTCTGGTCCTTCCCCAAAGTTCCATCTCTATGTATCTCTTCAGTGAATAAGCCTCCTCTAATTATTTTAACAAATTTTCTTCCTAAGGTATGTGAATTCCTCTTCTGCATATATTTTATTTTTAAGACTTAAAGCAAGCTCTTCAAACTATAGGATTAAAGAAAAAGTTGTATTGAAGTATAATATACAAATGGAAAAGTTCCCATATTACAAGCTTGATAAATTTTCACAAACATGAACTGACCTATGTTAACCAGCATCCTGATGAAGAAGCCACACAAAACCATCACCCCAGAAGCCCTGCTTCTAATCACTTTCCCTGTCCTTTGCCAGGAGTTAACACTCTCCTAACTTCTACAAGCACAGATTAGTTTTGCCTGGTTTGTGCTTTATATAATCATCCTATAGAATTTATTTACCTTATCTCAAGTCTGAGGAGTATACTTCATAGCTCATTCTTTAAAAAAAATTTTTTTAAACCATTTAAGAGGCTTCTGGGAAGATGATGGAGCAGGAAGCACCAGGAATCCCTCTTCCCACCTGGACAACCATTGCACCAGCAGAATCTATCTGATGGGATCATTTTGGAACTCTGGAGTCTGTTGAAGGCTTGCAGCTTCCAGGGGAAGACCTGGAGGGTAAATTGCAGTTAATTTTGGTCAATTTTAGCTCTTAGCACAGTAGCAACTACCCATTTCTTATTCCTAGCCAAGTGGCAGCAGCTGTGCACATGATCCTGGAGAAGCTTGCAGGAGCCAGGGCAGGCAAAAAGAACCCTGACTTCCAAGTACTGGGGATGTGCTCTCATTGCTGATTGCTGCTTCTGAGCACAGAGGTGCAAACAAAGAGTGGGGCAGCCACTGTTGTTACACCTCCCCTCATTGTTGTACTTCCCTCCTCCTCTTCCAGCCGAAATGACTTCCAAGGGATTTAAAAGACCAACACTCTTCCCCTGTTAACTTATGGCTTTTTCCCTTTTGGGAGCCAGACATTAAAGACTAGGACATTCAAAAACAACTGCCTATACAGGGAAAATTAGAAAGTGACTATGCATGCCCAGAAAAAGGCTCAGAAAAGACCTGAGAAGACCTTAAGTTTATGTCTCAGGCTGATCCTTAGCACAGAGACAGCCTCTAACAATCAAAAAAACTAAAAGAATAACAAAAGACAGCAAACCCTGAGGAAGGGAGAGAATCTGATTTCCAAAGTTACCACATTATTAGATTCAAATGTCCGTGTTCAACAAAAAATCACAAGGCACACAAAGAAAGAGGAGAGCATGGCCCATTCAAAGGAAAATAAATAATACAACAGAATCTGTCCCTGAAAAAAGACTTACTGGAACAGGTATTAGACAAAGACATTAAAATGATGGTCTTAAAGATGCTGAAAGAACTAAAGGAAGATATGGACAAAGTCAAGAAAATAATGTGTGAACAAAATGGAAATATCAATGAAGAGATAGAAAACCTAACAAGAAACCAAAACAAAATTCTGGAACTGACAAGTACAATAACCAAAATGAAAAAAATCACTAGAAGGATTTAAAGGCAGATTTGAGTGGGCAGAACAATGAATCAGAGAACTTGAAGATAGGACAATGGAAACTATCAAGGTTGAGGAACAGAAAGAGAAAAGATTGAAGAAATGTAAATAGAGCCTAAGAGACCTATGGGATACCATCAAAAGGACCAAGATATGCATTGTGGGAGTCCCAGAAGGAGAAGAGAGAGAAAAAGGGGCAGAGAGAATATTAGAAGAAATAATGGCTGAAAACTTCCCAAATTTGAAGAGAGACATGAACATAAACATCCATGAAGCTCAATGATCCCAAGGAAGATGAATTCAAAGAGACCCACACTGAGACACATGATCATTAAACTTTCAAAAGCCTAAGCCCAAGGGCAAATCTTGAAACAAGCAAGAGAGAAGGCAGTCATCACATACAAGTGATCCTCAAAGAGATTTTCTGCAGATTTCTCATCAGAAACTTTGGAGGTCAGATGATAGTGGGCAGATATATTCAAATGCTAAAAGAAGAAAACTGTCAACCAAGAATTCTAAATCCAGCAAAGTTGTCCTTTAAAAGTGAGGGAGAAATCAAGACATTCCTAGATAAACAAAACCTGAGGGATTTCCTGACCACTAGACCTGTCCTGCAAGAAATGCTCCTGGGAGTCCTGCAGGATCAAATGAAAGGACAGTGGACAGTAACTTGAAGCTGTATGGAGAAATAGCAATCTTAATAAGAGTAAATACATGGACAGTTATAATAACTAGCATTAGTAGAACAAGTTTGTAGCTGTTATTTTTGTTTTCTACATGATTTATGAAACTAATACACTTAAGAAAAATAAATAATGTGACAGTTGGTATTACTGTAACTTTGGTTTGTAATTCCAACTCTTGTTTTCTACATAATTTAGGAGACTAATGCATTTTAAAGAATTATTAGTTTATGTTTTGGGGCACACATTGTATAAAGATGTAAATTTGCGACATCACAACCAAAAAGGGGGTAGGGACAGAGTGTAAAGGAGCAGAATTTTTGTATGTTATTGAAGTTAAGCTGCTATAAATTCAAAATAGAGTGCTAAAACTTTAGGATGTTAAATATAATCCCCATGGCAACTACAAGGCAAATAGGTATACAATATACACAAAAGGAAATTAAGAAGGAATTTAAACATTTCACTACAAAAATCAATTAAACACAAAAGAAGATAGGAATGCAGGAAATAAAGGACAAAAAAGTGATATCACAGAAAGCACAGTGACAGAAGTAAGTTCCTCCTTGTCTATAATTCTTTCAATTTAAGTGGATAAACACTACAATTATAGGACAGATTGGCAGAATGGATAAAAACACATGATCCAACTATATGCTGTCTACAAGAGACTCACTTAAGATCAAGAAACATTAAACCATTTGGAAGTGAAAGGATGGAAAAAGATATTCCATGCAAATAGTAACCAATGGAGACCAGGAGTGGCTATACCAATAAAAGACAAAATAGGCTCTAAATCACAAAAGGTATAAGAGACAAAGAAGGACATTACATATTAGTAAAATGCTGAATACAGCAAGAAAACATAACAATTATAAACATTTATGCACCTAATGGAAGACCATCAAAATATTTGAAGCAAAAACTGACAGAATTGAAGGGAGAAATTGACAGTTCTACAGTTAGAGTTGGAGACTTCAATACCCTGCTCACAATAATGGATAGAACAACTGGACAGAAGATAAGTAAGGAAATAGAGGATTTAAACAACACAGTAAACCAACTAGATCTAACAGACATGTAAAGAACACTCCACCCAACAACAGCAACATACACATTCTTCTCAAGTACACATGTGGCATTTTCCAGTATAAATCATATATAGGGCCACAAGTTAAGTTTCAATAGATTTAAAAAGATAAATATAAGACAAAGTGTCTTCTCTGGCAACAATGGGTTGAAATTAGAAATCAATGACATAAAGAAAACTGAAAAGCTCACAAAATTGTTTTTGAAGAGGAATCACAAGGAAATTAGAAAATACTTAGAGACAAATGAAAACAGAAACATAACATACCAAACATATGAGATGCAGTGAAAGCAGCATTAAGGGGGAAATGTATAGCTCTAAATGCTTACATTAAAAACGGGAAACATCTCATATCAACAACCTAACTTTACAACTTGAGACTAGGAAAAAAAAGAACAAACTAAACCCAAAGCTAGCAAAAGGAGAGAAATAATACAGATTAGTGTAGAAATCAATGA